TCTATATAATTATAAATTTATGCAAAAAATAATAAAAACAAGCAAGCGGCAAGAAGAGAATATAGGCTGATTTATCCAGATCGACAGACTCCTGCAAATACATTTTTATATAATTATCGTTATGTCATAAATGAAAAAATGTTTGAACGGAAGAAACGTACTATCGTAGGAAATGATGATGAAGATCTTAATACTTTGCTTTACTTTGAAGGTAAAAATTAAATACTTAAATAATAGATTAAATCCATAATAACATTTTTATTTTAGAAAATTCCGAAACTAGTCTAAACAATGCTACTAATGCATTAGAGAAAAGCCGTGCGACGATACATAGAGTTTTAAAAAAGCGCAACTATAAGCAGTGCAAAATATTACCCGTACAAGAACTGACCGATGTTCATAAGAGAAAGCGTTTACAGTTCTGTCAAGACATGCTTACAAATTTGAACAATGATCCTAATTATTTTTATAAAATTTTATGGACAGATGAATCAAATTTTTCAACTTCAGGCATTTTTAATAGAAGAAATAGGTATTCGTGGGAACAGAAAAATAATAGAAAAGAAAAATTAAGCAAATAAAAAAGTCGTGACGAAAATCAATAAATGTGTGATGCGGAATATTTCAAAACAAAATAGTTGGACCATTGTTTTATGATTATAAATTAACTGGGGAATCATATTTGGACAGTCATTACAGAAGTGGATGAGTTATTAAATCAAAATTATACACAAAATCAATTAAATAGTATGATATGGCAACAAGATTGAGCGCCGCCGCATAATGTAGCCGTTCAAGAGCATTTAAATAATCAATTTAATGTGTGGATCGGCACATAAGGGTACCATTACATGGCCACCAAATAGTCCCGACTTAACACCATGTGATAGCCTTTTATGGGGGTTTTTAAAAGAAAAAGTGTATTTTGATTCAAATACAAATATTAACACTATTACGGCAAAAGTTCGCGCGGAAATTGAACATTTAAATGGTCATAATAACACAATATCTGACGCATTAGAAAATTTGAGACGAATATATTACTTGTGCATTGATAACAATGGAGGACACTTTGAGCATCTATTGTAATCTTAAATGTAGTATTGTATGTTAAAGAGTATTGTAAGTCATTAATTTTGTTGACTTTCTAAATATATTTTTTTCTTATCTTAGTATAGTATAGTAGTACCATACGCCATTATAGAACAAAACTAATGCTACACTATGTTATATATTTGTAATCAGGAAATGCAGGGCTACTCAAAACTATAAAAAAAAATACAGGGTGTCCCATTTGAAATATTGAAGATGCATTTTATTGGGCACTCCCTGTATACAAAATTTGGTCTGTTGCTACACTGTTGGTCGATACAGATAAAATAATACAACTTTTATTGAAACTTTTTTTGTATTCCCGAAATTAAGGAAAATAAGTAGGGAGTCGAAATATTATGAGAAACCCTGTACAAAATGTTACATTGTTATTTTCCGTGTCCCTTCATATGGAAAAAGGAGGACACATTTTTTTTGTAAAGTCCAAGAATTAAAAAAACTTTTGCAAAAAATTAATTTTGTAATATAATAAACGTGTCGAGAAAAAAGTTATTGAAATTATGTCCTTTTTGCGCACCAAAACTGTACTAGTACCTTAATCTCACTAAAACAGAACTTTTATGATCTATAATTATTAATAACTAATAAATATTACAAGAAGTTTGCATGTATTTAGTGGATTTTGTAAATATATAAAATAATTTATATAGGTACGCTAAGCAAATATTTTTTTATTTAATTAACAAATAATTTAAAAAAAAAATCAGTTATAAAGAAATAAAAAAATTGCTTGATGGGTATGTTGATCCCACAAATCAAAAACTATATACAAACTGCACCAAAACTTTGATTGTAACCGATTCTAGTAACAGGTTTACAAACCTTCTTGTTTACATTGAAACCAAAAGACACTTTTTTTCTTAATGTTTAGAGTTCTATAAGCGTGTATATTCTTCGGTTTTATGTTAACATTTTTGACGTTTATTAAGTTCAAAATTATCTTTACAATCGTTGTTTGTTAATATAACAATTAAACATGGGATAATATTTTGCTTTCTATCAGGTCGCACTTTAAAAATAACTTGATAACATCAACAATGAAGTGAATCTGTTGTGAAACATATTCTTACTGAAATAGTGTATATTGCTTAACTAAAAGTAACAATGAGATCGTAATCTGTAGCACACTAAAGGAAATTAAGCTGTTAGTTTTTGAAAAGCAGCAACTGTGACTCTATAATATCTACCATTTCATAGACCCAGAGCTAGTCGAAAGTTAGAAAATCTGTATGTAAAGTATTTTCAGTAATGTGTTAACACAAAATAGGTCTTACTGGTAATTGAATTTTTTTGTTGACAAATGTTTTAAGAAGTTTTAAAATTTTAATCATTTAGTTTAGTATTGAAAAAAGTAGGAAATAAATCAGCCAGATCATTTTATCGCGCCTTTACAATTTCTCTAGGCGGTTTCAATACCGCTGTTTTTTTTTAATTTCGAAAAAATATATTTAACACGTTCACGCCGTTACCAGATACGTGGGTCTGGTATGAACTTTACATTCAACAGGTACTGAAGTTTGGAGACCTTGCGCTAGCGCCGACACAGATAAAATAGCTTTTTATGAACTAAAAATATGATATAGGTACCCACGGAATCGTCGTGATGTGCTTTATATTTTAGATCTGTTTTAAGTTACCAGATGCCAGCACCTTGTAACGTCCCACAAAGAAACTTTTTATGATATGGGATTTACCGGATCTCCATATTTGGTTATTATTTTTATAGTAAGCATTGTAAACATGTGTTGATTTTTATTAAAACATATAAAAAAATGTCGCCTAGAGGCGAAAAAATGGTTAAATTGGTGCTAAACAAGCACCAAAGTGCTTGGATACAACATCCATTTGAAAATTTGTCTGATGGAGATCCTGAACACACTCCTAGTGAAGATAGCGACAATTCGGATGGGGACGAATCCATAAATTTGAAAGAAGTGTCCAGTGATATAGAAACTGATAATTATGAATCGAAAAAAGAAATTGGTAAGAATAAAAGTGAATCTTATAATTTGTTGTCTATTTATCATAGATGAAATTTTGGAATTAATTGTTCAAGAAACCAATAGATAGGCAGAACAAGAATTGGTGTACATAGTATCAAGCAACAATCTAACAGTAAGTGGGTTCCGAGTAATAAAGAAGAAATTAAAAAATTCTTTAGTATCGTGATCTGCATGAGATTCATGAAGGTCCCTAATATTCGATTATATTGGTCCAAAAATGACCTTTATAATAATAAGTTTATCTCCTCAGTTATTGACTAGGGATAGATGTTTATTAATTCTATAGTATCTACATTTTCAAAATAACGATGGTATAGTAGAAAGCAATGACAGATTCATGAAAATCATGACTCCAGGAAAAAATGTAGTCATAGATGAAAGTATGGTACCATGGCGTGGTCGTTTGAGTATACGGCAGTATATAAAAAACAAACGCCATATATATGGTGTTAAATTATATAAACTATGTACCGTCAGCGAATATACCTATAAAGTAATGGTTTACTGTGGAAAAGAAAACAATATGACAAACGCAAGCCATTCTCAGAATGTTGTGCTGACCTTAATGATTAGCTTGTTAAATGCCCGGCGAACTTTATACGCTGATAAATTGTATTCGGGCATTCCTCTTGCAAAAGATCTATTACATCTCCAAACTTTTTATTGTGGGCCGCTTAGAAGCAATCGGAAAGGTATTTCAAAGATAATAGTTCAAAAGAAACTAAAGAAAAATGAAATAATTGGCATCAAAAATAAGGACAATATACAGGAAATCCATTGACAAGACAAGAGACCGGTATTATTGTTATCCAGTAAACCTGAGCATACCCTAAACTTCTGCAATACGAGCAAGAAAAAGAGATCAAAACAAGGAAGGAACCAGTGGAACATATTTTTAAACCACAAGTTATCCAAGACTATATCAAAGCTAACAAAGATGTAGATTACAGTGACCAAATGGCAGTTATTATTTTTCCTTATGAAAAAAGTGGCATCATCAAGTAGTTTTCGAAATAATTTTTATTGCTATAATAATCAACAGCTGGATTGTGTAGTCAAATCAAAATGAGTGTATTTCTGAAACCAATTTATCAAAACGAAAACATTGTCTGCAATGATAAAAGGTCCTGGTAGAAAATGTAGACGAAATTGTGTTGATTGTTACAAAATGTTGGGGCAGACTATGAAAAATAAGGAAGCTGATAAGAAGGTGACCAAAGTAAACACTTTTTGTGAACATTTTGAAAATAAACCGGCTTTGTGCTTAACTTGTTTTAATGATAAACATGTCTAATTATTATATATTTTTGTACACTTTAATATTACTTCAAATAAATATTAATAATTTTATTTATTTTTTAAAAGTAAAATATTCTAAATTGCCATATCAGTATCAGTATATTTTTTTATATACCGTAAATAATTTACCGGACATCAGAATCTGATGCTATGGTTGGCAGAAATGTTTACTATGAGATGGCAGTGTTAGATTCAAGATAATTTCAAATACAAAGTCACAGAAACCGTTTATTTATAGATATGTTTACCAGACCCATAGGTCTGGTATCATCCGAACAGTTGACAGTATTACCAGATACACAGATCTGGTAACATCAGTAAATGTTACTGAAAAAATTACTGCTGTTGTGAACATGTTAATCAATTATAGGCAAGTGTCCTATTTATAGATCAATGGAAATTTTTTTCAACCTTAAAATTTGTCTACATTTGAAGAAAAAATTGCCATAGATATTTTAGCCTGTAGTTAACTGAATTATAATTTTTTGTAGTATTAGATTTCCATTATATTTACACATTTAATAATAGAAGTTAAATATCAGTCCTTTTTTACTGTTTACTGGATTATTCTTGTTGATTAATGTTTATTATCAACTATATTTATGACTAAATCTCGGAAATATAAATTGTATCGTTATTATTTTTATGATCTATAAATATGATACTGGTACTAATCGTTATCAAAATGTGCAGCATTTCAGTATTCAGTTGCATGTGAATCTATGCACAAATCAATGCATTTTTTTAAATTTCACATTTGTTTATTTCGATTTGCAATAAAAACAGTTTTATATTTTATCCTATTTAGAAGAAATTACTCTGCAGTAACTAATATTTTAACGAATATTATTTTTGATAATAAATATACAAATCAAGTAAATGAAATGATTGTGAGATGTTTGTTTCAAATGAAGACATTATTGCAGCCAACTTAGGGATGGCCATTTTTTTTACCCATAACTAGTTTTCCTTTCTGCTCCAATAACTTTTCAACAAGCCTAATACTTGAACAAAAAAACAGATTTGTGGAGCACACAATTTGTGTTAGTTTTATTAATTTATCAATCAAGTTTGATCAATTGTATCTAAATGTGTTATCATTTATCAATTATATTTCACATAATTCCATATTTTGTATGGTGGATACTGAAAACATTAATTGAATTCTAGAAAATATGCACATTCAGTGTTGATACAGGGCTGGCCTTAGTTTCTTTCTGAAAGAAAATTGGTTATAAAATGAAATGAGTCTCTTAACTTTGTGTCAAATAATCAAAATTTAAGTCTGAAGTTTAAAGATATCACATGAAGTTTGTTTCTATAAAAAGACTAATTCCCTAATTTTGTTTAAAAACAGTTAACAGCTTCAACTAATACACTTCTTTAACTATTCAGTTAGATATTAATGAAAAAAGTGTGTGATTAATATTCTATAAAATTACCTTTAATCATGTGCATCACATTCCAGTTTCTAAAATATATTTTATTACCAATTTTAATTCCTTGATTTCCAACTGAAAGCAAAAAACCTTTCTGCTTAACTATACAAGATATTAAAACCTATCTAGATAGAATGCTGGCTAGGTGTAAGACCAGCACTGTGTTCAGGACTATGCTTTTGCTTCTTCCTCTTCTTCTCCTTTTTCCGCTTTCTCTTTTCTTCATCATGCCGCTTCTGCTTTTTATGTTTCTTCTCATGAGTTTCACTATTTGTGTCAGATACAGCTGTTTCTTGACTAGGTAGGCCTGTTTCCTTGTGTTTATTGTGTTTTTTATGCTTGTTTTTGTGTTTCTTTATGGGGGCTGCATTGGCATAACGATACTGCTCAGGAAGCTAAAAAAAATGCAAATATTATCTTTTTCGGTACATTATAGAGGGTATTTCTGTTACAATTATAAGAATTCTGTTAATGATAATTTTAAGTTTAGGTATAACAGAACTCTGTGTAACCGTAGTATTTAAAAAAATTTAGGACAAAGGATGAGTATGTCATCCTGAAGACCTAAATAATCCAGCACTTCAATAAATCAATACATCCAAAAATCTGGCATCCTCTGCCTGCACCTCCCACACTCTTTCCTGTACCCCATACTGCATATGAGCTCCATTGCATCAAAGAGCTCAAAACTTATCAGAAGCGTGTGCATACATATTGACCTGCTTTTTTAAGTAAGAATAAGTTTTATATTTAAAAATGTCAAGTAAAAGGAAACACAAGACTCTAGCTTTGAAAGATAAAATGGAAATTTTAATGAAAGTTAGATAGTGAAGAAAACATGTGAGAAACAAAAGATAGTGGACCACCATAAAGACAATGGACCAGAAATTGTAAAACATTAAGAGTGAGTGTATGACCAAAGATGGAAAATTGTCTACATCTGTTTCATAAAAGAGTGTCCAAAACACATTTCTGTATCTGGAGAAATTCTGAAAGCTAAAGCAAACGAATTTTATTATAAAGCAATTTGATATATGTCTGTTAGCTGTATCAGGTAAGAAATTGTCAAGCAACCAATCTGCAGTGCAGCCATTCATTCAGCATTTTATAGACAGTAGAAGAATTGGGTCATCTTCCTGACCAAATATATAATGCAGACAAGAGACTGTTTTAGAGACTGGTACCCAATAAAACATTTTTTGTATCCCCTAAAGAAGCGAGCACACCAGGTCTTTAAATCGTTAGATCAAACAAATTGGATTTGTTAGTGATTGGTAAAGCTAAAAATCTCAGAACTCTCACAAACATTTGTTTGCTAGTTTGCTACAAGCATCAATTTAAAAGCTGGGTCACAATAGAAGTATTTAGTGAATGGTTTCATAAAGACTTTATTCATATGTGATAATGCTCGAGGCTATCTAAATGAACAATAACTTACATAAAGTGATGGGAATATCCAAACCAAACATACCACCAAACTAATACCTTTATTGCAGCAAATTGATTGAAAAGTAAATTCCTTTTATAAAAATAAATTGGTCATAAAGATTATTTTTCAGGATAGTGACATAACACCATGTTGGTGAAGGATGTTGTATTCTCTCTCACTCAGACATGGAGTCCTGTTTCACCTGACTTAATCCAATGATAGGCCATAGCTGAAAACAGCTATGGCCTACAATAAATGATGTATCACAAGAAACAGAAAAACGTTATCCTGAACATAATCTACCTATTGCTGATTGGTTTCAAAATTTATAGGAAAAAGGATTCAGGAAAAGTGAAGATTTAAATTCTTGGTTTGAAGGGATCAAAGAAACAGATGACAGATATGACATTATGACAGATGAAAAATGTGAAACTGTATACCAAGAAGAAAGACTAGCAGAAATAGTCTACAGTCATTTTTGTTTAAAAATATTTTCTCCTTGGTGATAATAAAAGCCCTTCATCATTGATTTTTATGCAAAAATTACTGTAAAATACTAATATTTCTATTTATCTGAACAATTCCTAAAATTTAAAGAATTCTGTGAATATTTTAAGTAAGAATTAAGTTAACTGAGCAGAAAAATTTGGTGTGTAGATAAGTAATATATAAATGAATCATTCTTACAGGTCCAGGGTGAAGTCGAAATCCATCTAATTGGATATTGGAAAGTGGAAGAAGCTCCTTACCACCTACTGGTGGTTTTTCAATAACAGATCTTAAGGAACTATTGTCTTGTTGTCCTGGGGAGTCTATGACACCAGGTAAAGTGGGTAAAAATGAAGATAACTGCTCTTTTAACTTTTTACCACTGAATTTGCTATAGGAATGTTCCAAGCCATAATATGTCATCAAATTTGTGGCTCCTGTTAGCTCCGATTCTCCTATAATCAAATTTAAAATTGAGTTAATTTAATAATTTCAAACAGTGTTAAATAGTGTGTTTATTATTTATTAATGCAAAATTAACTGATATTAACAAATTTACACCACCCAACTGTTACTACAAAATCAACTGACATACTTAATTACACCTAAAAAACTTTAAGTTGTGAAATAACTCTTTCATATATATTAATAATATATCAGTTTTGACATACCGGGTGGTTCTTTCATTAAATAGAAAGGTCCACTAGGGACTATGGAGGGATTCTTTCCTAGCAAAATTGTTGTTTTTAATGTTCCCGAAGAATCTTGACGTGATACGACGGGGGACCTGGCCCCTCTTGGCGACGATTTTGGAGAATATTGTTCAACTTTCCGAAACTGATCTCCCATCATCTTTCACTTCATTGTTTTATTAAAAAGTTGCAGACAAAAATTGGAAGCCATAAATGACAACTTCAATTATGACAAGTGACAGCGACAGCCTTCAGATGAGCTTGATAAACGAATTATTCTCAGTACTGCCAAAATTGTATTAACAAATTGTTGAAACTATTGGAATAAAACCCGACAAACTTTCTTAGCCGTACATAAATTTATCTTATTTTTAATCATTATTTTTAATCTAAAATTAAAATTTAATTATTGTCCAGTCCAAAAAGTTTGACTTTTTATTTAACTATCCATTTATTTTTTTATCATAAAATGACATATTAGTAACTCCAAAATTTTGTTTCATTAGGGAGAGCGCCCACCAAACTGGCATGGGAAATGGCACGTAGCAAGTAGCGCGCGTCTAGCATGTTACTTAAAATGCAATCAATGAAAACGAATGATTCAGCGCAAACTAAAATTACAGTAAGGTCATTCATTGTAACCATTCGTTTCCATTGGTTACATTTTAAGTAACATGCTAGACGCGTGCTACTTGCTACTTACCACTTGCCACGCCAGTTTGGTGGGCGCTCTCACTTAGTTTTTTCTTCTTTGTGTGCCATTCTCGATTATCGTGCGTGGGCTATAATAATTTTCTTGAAGACAGCTCGTAAAAGGGTTGCTGAGGATCTGTTAAATCATTCATTCAGGTTTCTAAGCCATGACGTTCTTCTTCAACCTGGCCCTTATCTGTCTCTCATGCCTTGTATTATTGAATGAAGTATATTAGATATCTCTGGGTGACTCATAATATTGCCAAAATATTTCAGTTTCCGATTTTTTTAATTCTGACCACTTCCGTAACTTTTCTCATCTGCTACAAAACAATCTCGTTAGGAATCTCTATCTACCCAACTTATTTGTAGGCTTGTCTAATACACCCAGATTCCAATATATCTGGCATTCTCTCTATGTATTCTAATTTCTTTGCTCATGTCTCAGTTTTCATTTAGATTACAAATAAGGTGAATATTGGTGTTTTACTGACGAAGTTCTTCGTAACTATTTGCAATTAACGTAGTGTCATCACGTACCTCAAATTAATTTTGATACCACATTGAACAGTATCCAATGCTTTATTGAAAACGAACTCCGAATAGATGTAAATTTGTGAGGACAAATGCGCAGCCCTGTCTTACTCCTCTTCATATTTAAAACTCTTCAGAATTATTCCTGCCAATCCTGATGTTTGCATGTTGATGCCAGCAATGATTTTAATGGTACGTAGGTCCTTATCATCAATACCTACCTACTAAAGAATGGCTATCATTTCAGTATATTTTACTCGATCTAAGTCATTTCGGAGAACTAGGGGACAATCCAACAATGAAGGAAGAAAGGTCAAAAAAAAGTCATTCTTAAAGTCAATAAAACACATAAACTATATAGATGCTAGTTAGTTTCACGAATCATAAACGTATTCAGTCAAGTCAAGAACGGATAATTATTATTAATTGGGCATGTCAATACAAAATTTTGAGTTATATATTTTTAAAAATTCTAATATTACCAGCTAGACCAAATTCAAGGGGCTTTATAGCCCAAACCACCAAAAAATTTTGGGACCTTAAAAAATATGCAAAACATTTTACCGATTTTACCCCATGGCGTTCCCTTAAAACCCCCGTTAGGGGGGAAAGTGTATTTGAGATAATTTTGAATAACAATGTTAATTAGCACTTTTTCTATAAAATGAGAGGCTTAAAGCTTTTTCTCTTAGACCCAAGGCTTAAAGCGATTGGTGATTTTCAATCTCAGGTACGCGCGAAATCAATTTGAAATAAAATTTGTATTAACTAAACTGTAAAAATTCGATATCTTTTGATAAAAGTGTCCCATCAAAAAACAATCAAAATTCATTTTAAAGGTGAAGAGAGCAGATTTCATATGCAATTTTTGTATTCTGCCGCAAAAGTCTATTTCAATAAAGGTGTTAAATAATTAAACGTTTAGCGATTTTTAGCATTTTTTACGATTCTCATGAGATCTATAAAATTTATCACTTTCATTGAGCAGTCACTACGAAATATTCATTGTTATAGTCTAATCTTTAAAACATATAGCCTGAAATTTCGGTTTTTAGTTTTGGCAACAAATGTGAGGCATTGAGATATGCCTAAAAACGCTAAATTTAATTTCAATTAATCAAATTTCAAACTTAAAATTGAAATTTTATGTTATAGGTTTTGAAAATTAGGCTACAGCAATGAAAATTTCATAGCGACCGGTCAATGAAAGTGATAAATTTTATTGATATTATGAGAATCGTAAAAAATGGACACAACTGCGCAACGCTTATTTATTTAACAGATTCTTAGAATCCGACTTTATTTGAGGCAAAATCAAAAATGTAATAAAAAAAGCTGCACTTTTCACCTTTAAAACACATTTTGATTTTTGTCAATAAGGCACTCTAATCAAAAGATATCGAATTTTTATCATCGAGTTGATACAAATTTTATTTAAAAAACTGACATTCAAAACCGCCGGTCGCTTCAAGCGTTGTTTCTGGGAGAATGGTTCATTCTATAGAAAAATGCTAATAAACATTTTTGTTTAAAATATTTTTCATATTCATTCTCAGACAGTCTCGACAAAAATTCAGCTTGTTCATATGATTTTTTATATACAACATAATATACCTATTCATATACAAATATAATATAACGTAAACCTGCCACAAGACAACAGCTTCAGAATTTCCTTAGGTAATATTAATATCATATTAGATAATAATAAATAGTTTTTTTTTATTTTCTTTACTTTCTCTGCAAAAATGTATATTTTGCTACGCCTATGAAATGGTATTTGAAATTTATGTTCAACAGTAAATTTTCCTGCTGCTGAATGCGTCATATGATTTTGGAAAGTACCAACCTCACAAGTCTAAAGTTGTGAGTGAGTGATATCAAAATAAAAACAAAAAAATACAAGAATCATTTTCAGTTCAGTTTAGTTATTACAAAACCGCGGTGGTCAGCGTAATTAACAGGTTCTTTGCGTTCTTTACTTTGCTGAGTGAGTCATTTCTTATCTGTTTTATTGTTTTTCGGGTAGTGTGAATTAACTTACTTTTTCTTACAACAAATTCATTCCTTGTTCTTGTGTAGTTTTATTAACAGGAAAAGGTAAGGATCTATTTTTAGTAATCAATAAATATGCTCATCAATCACTTCTGATGTAGAAAAATGTCGCTGTACCCGAGTTTAGAAGATATGAAAATGGACCAAATGGCCAATGCCCAATACACCCAAATGCAAAGGAGTATTGCCGCCTCACAAGCCACTGCTCCACCACCTTACACATATCCTGGATTTGATTCTATGCCTGTCCCTGCAATGGGAGCCGAAAATAAACAACTTTACCCTTCATTAGGGGAATTTATGGGGCTAGAATTAAGTGAAGCTGTCATTGCAGAGAACATGCCAGAATATTCCCAAGTGGTTATCTATCAACAGGTATGTACAAATGTTTTTGAAGTCTTGTGCAATATTTCCAAACTATTTTTATAAAGGGATTTCAATTGATTGAATATATTTTTAGTATCTTTAATGAGTACAGCTATTAATGTATTAAGTGTGTGTGTGCTTTCACACAATTAATATATTTTGATAGGCAATTAAATTCATTTGATTACTTGACCTTCAGGTCATTGATGTTTTTATTATACCTATGTCTAGATGAATGAAAAAATAAAATTATTTCTTTTTTGGCATGTTTTAAAGTAAATATATAAAATAAAGTTATATTTTTAGAATTCAATTTTCAGTATTGATAAGCTGGTAATCAATATTTATTATATTTGTAATTTTAATTTGAATAAGTTGATTATGTTTTTTTTTTAAATTATAACCATTTTAGTATAATATGTATCTTACTTTTGCCATAATTTTTGGTCATAGCATGTCTATTCTTTGATATGCTATTTATTCTTTAATTACTTAGTTAAAGGTTACTTAAAGTTCTGAGTTGAAGTGCTACTTAATTTGGATTTTTGCTATAAACATTTTTCATTGAGTTATCAATTATTACAGGTTTTCGCTACTGCTCTTTGAGATAGTAGGTATATTATTTTTTGGTTTGCTGTGGTCTTAATTTATGTCTTCTCATGATTTTATGTATAACTGCAGTGGATGGTATTACAGCTGACGGAGTGACTTCATTTGAAAATACTACATATTGCACAGCTATGTTTGTTATTTTCTACCAAATCTTTTTTTATATTTTATTACACCTTGCAGTATGAACTTTGGTATTCTTCTCTTCTTCATCCTATTTATAAGCAATTCTGCTTGTTCATTGGCAGATTAATACCTCTATGGAAGGTTGTCACTTCATCTTTTGTGCTGTCATCCATACTTCTGCTGATTGGTGAACTCTGGTATTAAATATTTTAAATGTCTCAACAAATGTCCATATATAATATATTTTCAGCTTTATATATTTAAAACAAATACTGTTTGGACTTCAAATTACATGCCATCTAGTGCAAAATTGGCACATTGTAAATGTCAGAATAAATTGTTCCTTTCAAGTTGACAAACACGTTTTTCATTCTGTCAAAGTTTTAATTAATTTATTCAAGTTTATTTCAACAAGAAGTTCATAACCAGCGCAAAATATACAGTCCAACCTTTATGGTTTCTTCTAATCCCTACATGGTTTAGTCCTTCTTCACAGGATTTATTTGTGAACAAGATAAATATAATTCATAATTTCAAGTAATCACCTAAATTTGGCGTTCATACATCGAGAAAGCAAGTATTGTTGGTCCATCAAAATATTCAACAGTTCTCTTAGTAACGGAAATCAACATTTAGCTGCTCAACTCGTTTGGATCGTCCCATTCCAGTTCCTAACGGTAACACCTACTTTCTTCAGTGCTGCGGTAAATGCAATTTAAACCCCTCTAAGAAGGTATCGGTCTGGTGCTGTTAAAATATGAAGTATTACGAAGTCATACGAAGTAATATCCTTTTAAACTTTTCTATATTATAATTTTCTTTGTTTTTCATTCAATATAATTTATTATTCCTAATATTTGACTTGATACTGATAAAATGTCAATTGCAATTCTACGTAGAAAATGGTCAGTAATCAAAACAAAATTAACAAATTTTAATAATTATTTAGATGAAATAAAAGTTTTAGACGAGCAGAATCTTGCAGTGGCGGAGTTAGAAATATGTCTTTCTAAAATAAATAATTTAATAGAAACATTTGAAAATATTCAAGATGAAATCGACTGTCTGGAAGATTCTGTATCTGAAAATGATATTAGTTCAAGGGTAGAGTTTGAAAATAGTTTTTATTCTGCAGTAGCATTAGCAAAAATACTTATTTCAAAATCTGTCATTGATAAATCATCTGAAATGTCAAAAAATTCAAGTCAAAATTGTTCAAATAATGGTAACCATAGCAACATTAAATTACCTACAATAGAGTTGCCTAAATTCTCAGGCCACTTTGAAAACTGGCTAGACTTTCATGACTCGTTTGAGTCTCTAATTATTAATAATAGTAGTTTAAGCCAAATTCAAAAGTTTCATTATTTAAAATCTGCCATTTCTGGCAATGCAGCAAAGGTTATCAACTCGTTGTCACTTTCTTCTACTAATTTTAGTCTTGCATGGCAGCTTATATGTGAAAGATATGCAAATCAAGATCTTTTAATCTACAGCCATGCAAAGGCAATATTCAACTTGCCAACAGTAAATAAAGAGAACTCTTTTCATTTAAGACTATTGATTGACAATATCTCAAGCAATTTACGTTCTTTAAAATTTCTTGGTGAGCCCACTGAATACTGGGCACACTTTTAAACTATATAGTATGCAGTAAGTTGGACAGTATTTCTGAACGTGAGTGGGACTCAGTTAAGCCTCAACACCATACATTTGATCAACTCTTAGAGTTTTTAAAGAAAAGAGCTGATATATTAGAAAATAGAGCATTCAAAATCAATGAAAACTGAGAACTCACATAAAAAAACTAGCAAAATTATTAATAATAGGATTACAAACTCATTTGTTTCAACTGAATATATTTGTCAATTCTGTCAAAATTCACACAAAATTTCAAATTGTCCAGAGTTTCTTAATTTATCTGTAAAGCAAAGAACCAATGAGGCAAAAGTTCGTAAATTATGTTTGAACTGTTTACACCTGGGGCATATAAATAAAAACTGTAAATACGGAAAATGTCAAAAATGTGGTATGAAGCATCATACACTACTTCATATTGAGTTTTCTGGTTCTTCACATGCTTGTGAAGAACCAGAATCATGCTGTGGATTTGAAGTGTACCTTCAAATCCACAGCATGATTCTTCTTCTCAGAACATTGTGGAGCCTCCAAATGCTTACATCACTCTTTCTTCTTGTTTTTCTGAACATCAGGTATTGCTGTCAACAGTTACTCTTCTTATTAGTGATGCTCATGGCCGTTATCATTCGTGTAAGGCTATTTTAGACTCTGGTTCACAGTCAAACTTTATTTCTGATGAACTGTGCAACAAGTTGGGTATAAAAAAGGAACATGTGAATATTGCTGTTTCTGGTATCAGTCAGGTACCTTCACGTATAAGTTCTAAATGTTCTGTCTCTATTCAAGCAACTCATTCTAATCTCAATCTCTCAATCTCTTGTTTGGAAGTAGAAGAAATATGTAACTTAATTCCAAGTTTTCCTTTAGATACCAACTTATTCAATATACCTCAAAATGTACGTCTAGCAGACCCAAATTTTTTTAAACCTTCTAAGATTGATCTCTTAATTGGTTCTGCTATGTTTTGGGATCTTCTCCTAGTTGGTCAAATTCGTTTAGGGCAAAATATGCCAGTTCTTCAAAAAACTAAATTTGGCTGGATTATTTCAGGTCCGTTGCCAATTTCTCGTACAAATAATATTAATTGTAATTTTTTCCAAAATGTGGAGTCACAGGGACTTTCTCGATTTGGGGAAATAGAGGAGTGTTCTACTTTAAGGCCTATATTTTCAGAGGAAGAACAGCTGTGTGAACAGCACTTCATCTCAACATTCAAAAGAAGTCCCAATGGCAGATTCATAGTTTCAATTCCTCTTAAAGAATCTTCGAACAAATTAGGTGACTTCAGTCAATCTGCTTCCAAACGGTTTTATAGCATAGAAAGAAGGTTTCAAAACAATTCCTCTCTTAAATCAGCTTATGCAAATTTCATTAAAGAGTATATAGATTTAGGGCACATGTCAAAATCTCCTTTAATTTCTTCTTCAAATATATCTTAGTTTCTTCCACACCATGCAGTTCTAAAGGAAGATAGTTTAACTACTAAGCTTCGTGTTGTCTTTGCCGGGTCTTCTACTTTTTCTACTGGATTATCATTAAATGATATTCAAATGGTTGGCCCTAATGTACAAAGCAAATTATTTTCAATACTTCTACGCTTCAGGCAGCATTCATTTGTAGTTTCTGCGGACATAGTCAAAATGTACCGACAAGTTCTCATAGCGGAGGCGATGCCTCCGGTAACTGCACTCATAAGTCATCATTATTAGATTCAATCTAACATTGGCTAATTGGTTCTCGCCAAAGCCATAAATTCCACGAAAAAAAAAAATACAGGTGGCTCACTTGGTCTCAATCCTGTGGACAGACAGCCATGCTTTTATTTGAAAATTCTGAGAGTGGTGTTTGTACTCTGAGGATGATATCAAATTCTGATTTTTGTATTGTGTTTATGTATTATGTGTTTGTGTAATTATTTTAGATGATATCTCTCTGACCTATTAATCCATTAATGTTGGTATATTCTTGTTGCTGACTTTTTCTTTAAGTATTAGTAACCAGAGTATGCTACACTTTATTTATGGGTTTTCTATACATTTTTATTCATTAACTAAGATGAGCGCTGTTTATTTGCCTAACGTAATGTACGTGTACGTGTATAAATGATTGGCCACAAAATAGAAAAAGAATGGAATAACTACATAAGCAGAATGGACGAGACCCGTGTGGTCAAAATAGTAACAGATAAATCACCTATCGGCAGAAGAAGTATCGGACGACCGCGCAAAAGATGGAGTGACAATCTTCCATAGAAGTATTAATCCGCCAATGAATAAGCAGAATTGCTTATACTTTTTTTTTGTTTAATACAACTCCAACAGGAATCTTATGACTATTGCTATTTGATCATTCACTATGATCAATAAGCAAGTTAGTTCTATATATAAGTATTACAAGAAACTTATCTAAGGTTATATTCAGCAATATTCCTTAGACTCTAATACATTATAGTACTACTAGCTAACGTGTACACTTTAGCCGCATTTTACTCTGCTTTTTCACTTTCACTCACTTATAGCACTAAATCAAACGGCTTCGTTCTCTTTAGTCTTCTTATCTGGTTGGCGTTGTCTAGGAGTTTGATGGCCTCGACGTTCACGTGGTTGGAGAGCCTTTGTTCATGACTCTCGGCA